TGTGTGTGTCTGTGTGTGTCTGTGTGTATGTCTGTGTGTGTGTGTGGTGTTATATGTTAGGAAGGAATGACCCTCTCAGAGTAGGCCTATCTGGTCATGGATCTTATCTGGATTTGTCAGTGAATGGTGTCAATGAACAAAGCAGCCTGGCTTTTAGGTTTTGTTACTACTGTTAAATCTCCCCATGCCCCTGTCACACAAGTTCAGAGACACCATCTCTCCTTGGTTTGCTGTTGCCTCCATACCCATGTCTGAGGTTTACACTCTGGCACACGACAGTGTCAGACAGGAGTTGTGTCAGACAGGAGTTGTGTCAGACGAAGAGAGAACAGACCAGCCTGACGATGCTCAGTCAGTGAAACGGATGGCAGGAGAGTCACACCACCTACCACAGGACCAGTGGAAGTCCAAGCCCGGGTCATCATCCGGCCAGCCCAGTGTGACTTCTGTGAAAGGGTCCACGTACAGTTCAGGCTCAGAGAACACCTTCGTGTCCCATTTGTGACCCTGTGGAGGAAGGGACCCCCAGTGATAGAACACTCCACAAGTCAGCTTCACTATAGAGTGCTGCCACCAACCTACCCTCCATCCCAGAGCAGCGTGTGCTAATGGAGGCCACAGGGTGAGGCTAAGAGCAGAGAAGGTTCTGGATGGTTGTCTGCTCTCAGATTTCCCTCGGGAGGCATGGTGTGCCTTCCTAAGACTCACTGGGGACATAGCTTTATCTCCAATGTAGGCTTAGGACTCACTGTGTGATCACCTACATGGACAGAGGCAGTTCTGGACTAGGCTCTGTACTGATGATGGGGGACATGGTAACAGAGACCCAACTGCTACCCTTAAGATACATTAATGGATGCTTAACACTCAGAGTGCCGCCTGTTCTTCCTTAGAGAGGATCTGATTAGAGGCAGCAGGAGAATGTGGAAGGCGGAGGCAATCGGTTAAGAAAATAGGCCTTGAGGGATTTGGGGAGAGGTGGCTCAGTTAGAAAGGTCTTTGCTTTGCAAGCGCAATGATGTGAAGTCAACCCCCTCAAACCCGCCCCGAACCCACAGAGGGCAGTGGCATGTGCTGTAATCCCAGCCTTGGGAAGATTAGACGAATAAATCTCTGAGCTCACTGGTAAACTAGACTAGATGTTTGATGAGCATCAGGATAATGGGAGACCCTGCCGACAAAACAAGACCAAGGTAGATGGCTCCTGAAGAACAGTGCCCGAGGCTGTTCTCTGATCCATCCACCCTCTCAGTCTTCATGATACCTCCGGGCATACCTGTGAACGAACACTCTGATACTTGCTGTCGGTCCACCTGGGTCCTACCAGACACACAACTCTCAGTACTTTCATCTGTTTATCTCTAAGCTTCGTGAAGGCAGAGAGCACACTGGCCTTCTCGACATCACACCTCAGTCCCTATATATCAATTCTTGAACACCACAGGTGCACAGTAGGTCTTTGTTATCAGCAAGCACCCGCACAGTGTCAAGGAAAGGCAACTGAAGACTCTGGTGTAAACACTAAAGAACCTGAGCTTGTTTCCCCAAATTGGCGCTAACAGCTATGAATTTCCCTCTGAATACTGCTTTAGCTGCAGCCCAAAGATGCTGATCAATTGTATTGCTATTATTTTAGTTAGAAACAATTTCTAATTTTTTTCCTATGATTTCTTGTTTTGCCTATTAATTTTTTTTACAGAAGTGTGTTATTTACTTCCTAAGGCCTACCTACACGACCCAGGGTCTTGTTGCTTTACAATGTAACCCTGTGGTGGTTAGAGAACATACTTTTGGGCTTTAAGAAGAATGCTTGGATATTGTTTCCTTGTGAAGCTAAGTGTTTTAAAGATGCTTACGGACTTTCTTTCAGCATTTATTCCAGACGGTTCCTGGAAGCTGGAAGGGACTGTGAACGTAACGAGAACAAGAATTAAACTTTGATGGAAAAACATTATAAAACGTAAAGGCAGACTCACGCAAGAATCATGGCACATACTCAAGGTCCCACCTGTGGAGGGGGAGTGGTTGGGGCAGCAGGAGAAACAGGTGAGCCTAGAGTCCATGGCAAGTCTAGACAACACAGTAAGACCCTTCTCAAGCAAATAAACATATAAGAAAACAAAGATATCATATTGAACATGCCCCAAGATGTAATTCAGGCGATAGAGACACAGATAACAAGGTTCCGTGGGTGACAGATGTGCAGCTGCTTCGCCTGACTCTTCCCCAAGTGCAAGGGATCTGACCTCAGGCGCTCACACCTGCTCAGAAAGCCCTTGACCCGCAGAGTCATCCCCCAGACCTCCTTTTCTGTCTTTTTGTTATTGTTTTTGCGTCACAGGGGTAGTAGAGTCCATGGTTTCTGTGTTGTGAGGAAGAACTCTACCACTGAGCCACACCCTCAAGCCATCACAGGAGACAGAGAAGAAAACTTCAGCTCACCTCCTTCACTCCAGATGGTCTCTAGGCTTTAACACCTAAGATAATGTGAACTGTGGTCTGAGCGCTATGCCGTGCTCAGCCAGTCACGGCAGGAAGAACGTCTGAGCACGTTCAGTGTGGAACTCTAATGATAACTTTCTGCGACAGTGTCTTCAGAGCACCCAGAAGAGTCTGTGACTGTGGAATGGGCTCCCTGCTCACAGCCCTATTTGAAGGGCTCCTCCCTAGACCCTAGGCGGGTTCAATGTCCTAGACTCCAGATAGTACAAACACCTTGCCTGTGACAGTGACATTCCCGATGTCCAGACTCAGTTCTGAGAAGGCGTTCCGCACATGCACAGTGACCAGGAAGGTGCCTGAAACGCAAGGGGGAAGAGTCACTAGCGTTGTCACAAATTCCGTGACACAGGAGACAGCTCTCCCTAGGTGTGCCTGTCTGGCAGCCTTGACTGCAGCCCTGGAATCTCTCAGCCTCTATGCACTTACGAGTCCTACTATATACCAGGCCTGAGGCAAGATCTGGGAGCACACAGGTGAAGGTACATGACATGGAGACATAGCAGGCTTGGGGGTGGGGTATAACGGGTGAGGCAAAAGTACAACAGCGCTATCCTGCAAAGGACAAGACGGTTCTTTGAGGCTGAAGAACTCCATAGGTGGGTTCTTTACAGTGGATCCCTGTGGGATCAGCCTGGGATGGAGGATGGTGGAGAAGGGGAATAGAGAGGGCAGGAATAAGCAAATGGATGTCTTGTCTGTCTGCTTCTGGGAAATACAGTGGGCCAAGTGTGGGTAAGAACTATCTATGGACCAGACGTAGGCCTTCAGGAGAGGGATGGTGAGGGAGCAGGGACAGGCTGGGAGAGGAAGATGGCTGTGTATATGCAGCCAGCTGAAGGGGAGGTACAGCCCTCATCATCCTGTGGGCTGTAGTCTGAGCGACTCAGCGGATGGTCTCAGGAGCCCACAGAGACTATTCAGAGGCAAATTGACCAGAGGCAATTTCAAACATGTCCACTAAGGGCAGAGTCCTGCTGCACTCCCTTTGTGTCATCCCTCTTACTGAAGAGGCCCAGGTCATCTCGCCTCAGGGAGAAGTCTATTAATCTAAAAATGTGCAAAAAGCCACTGGACTGGTCCTGATTTTATCAGTTAAAAGGAGACAAGAGTTAAATGAACAGCTTCAAGGGAGCCTAGGGAGACAAAAGCCAGCAGGTGCGTCTAAACTTAGGGCATGGGGACATGATGTCATCCACAGAGTTCAATGCAAGAGCATAGCAACTGAGCTACTATAAATAAATGAATAAATAAATCTCATTATGTTTTAAATAAGTTTACAAGTTTACGTTGGACCACATTCGTATCTACCCTGGGACACACATGGCTCACGAGGCAGAGATACGTCTGCCAGTTGTCATGGGGATTAAAGCCCCACTGTGGTGTGGTTTTTTTTTTTTTTTCATTTTTCCATCCTTTGGCTTCTTCCTATTTCAAGTCAGACTCTTGGAGAAGGGGGTGGGGAAGGAGGAAGTGTCAGGACTAGGCTGGAGGAGGAGGAGGCCGTGCATCTTGGGCATCACTTAGCAAAGCCCCACTGGCTCTCTTGTGGAATCTTCATTCTCTTTGCAGACCTTTGGCAGAAGGCCTGAGACCCTCACACCTACCTGGTGTCACTTCTTTCCTGGCACCCCTCTGAGCCCCTAGGGGAACCAAATCAGAAATATATAAAGGTGTGGCGTATGCCAGGGAAAACTGTCAGCTCCAGTACCTTCAGCAGGAACTGCCACATGGAAGTTTCCAGATGTCTGCCCAACACTCTCTTCCTTCTGGGAGAAGTTTGCGTTGAGTCCTGCCACCTCGAAGGTCAGCTCCTCCAGGGTACCACGAGCCACTGAGACATTGACCAACAATTCCCACCCAAGCTCCACGTGGTCAGACGCCCAGGAGGCCCGCAGCCCCGACAGCAGCTCCACAAGGTGGACAGTGACATTTCCAGAGGGGGTGGAGGCAGTGCTGTTGCTGACAGCCTGGATCTTCAGGTGGTGCCTCCCAGGGCCCAGCAGCTCCTGAATGTCTCTGCCCAGGGTCAGATTGTGAAGCTGTGAGCCCCTAGGGGTGGTGAATTCGGCCAGAGTTCTATTACCCGAAAGCACAGCATAAGTCGCCCCGGCTCCTAGGGGGAGTAAGGGAAATTTAGAAAAGCTATTACCAGCTGTGCAGCTAGCATTCTAAGATAGTTCAGGCTGAGTTCTGATGTCAGATTCTGCAGTAGACATAGTTATGGGTCCAGAGAAATAAGTGAGGACAGGCCACCTTCCCTAAATGCTAACTGCAAGTATTATTATTATTATTGGTTTTTCAAGACAGGGTTTCTATGTGTAGCCCTGGCTGTCCTGGAACTCACTCTGTAGACCAGGCTAGCCTCGAACTCAGATATCCGCCTGCCTCTGCCTCCCAAGTGCTGGGATTAAAGGCGTGTGCCACCACTGCCCGGCGCTAACTGTAATTATTTTTTGAGTTTTGGCTTTATAAGTGATTTTTTAAAAAATTTTCTAGATCCTCTCTGATCAGTTTTTATATTATTTGTTTGTGTTTGTTTCTTTGTTTGTTTGTTTTATATTATTTGTTTGTGTTTGTTTGTTTTGGGTCTAATGTAGCCCAGGCTGTCCTTGACCTCACTATGTAGCAAAGGGTAGCCTTGAACTCTTGATTTTTCTGTCCGAACCTCGAAAGAATTAGGATTACAGGCACGCACCACTGTGCTCAGTCTGGAGATTAAACCCAGGGTTTCTTGAATGACAAGTACTCTTCCACCTGAGCCACAGCTACAGCCCTGTTGTTATTTATGTATGCCCTTGAACCCAGAAGTTAATAGCAAGTACTTAGAACGTCCTGATGGGGACCGTCCCCTTGGGTGGGAAACTGAAAAAGAGGTATGGGAGGGGGAGGGAAGTGCACAGGAATTTTGAAGCAGGAGAATTAACTTCTAGCATTGTTTTCAGCCAAAATTGGTGAAGGTGTTTCCTTCAACATCCACCAATGACCTCCTAGGACAGGTAAGTCTCTATGAAACTCAACCCGTTCCCCACAAAGTGGGGTCCCCCCTTGCAGGCAGCAGATGACTGTCCTAGCTGGATTCGAAATACTGTCGTTGGTTGAAAATCTGATGCATAGAACCAGATGATATTCTTTCTAGTAGAAGCCACAACAAATACATTTCTTGTTTGGAAGCTGATGAAATTTTTTTAAAGAAAGAGAGGAAGAGGAGAAGGAGGAGAGGTACTGGTGGTGTTGATGATGGTGGTGGTGATGATTTTGATGATGGTGGTGATGATGGTGGTGACAGTGATGATGACCATTTGGTGATGACGGTAGTGATAGCCTAAAGCCCTACTACAGGAGGAGCAGGACCCTTCACTGTCATATGTATTCCCGCCTCCCCCACACCTGGCAAAGAGCTGACACACAAGTCTTCTTATATTTGTAAGAAGACTAAACAAATCAACGAAAGATTATTTTACTTTACCCCAGGCGCACAGGTGCACATACCAGCCCCCCCTCTCCCGCCTAAGGCAACAGGCACACAGGAACAGGAAGGAATCTCCTGAGTGCCGTGTCAGAGCCCCGTCACAACCCCATTAAGATGATTAGAATGAAGGATGGCATACCAAGTCAGATCCTTTCTCATTTGATGACAGTCACCTCCATCCCCACCATCACCACCATCCCCATCATCATTACGCCAGCACCACCAACATCTCCCACACCACCAACACCACCATCGTAGCTCTGCACTGCGTAATTTATGTCAACAGGGCTTCATTCAGAGCTCTAACTGGACTGTGCTTGGTGGGAAAAGGTTGCTGTGGATAAGGCGGCAGGGGTAGGGTCGGGTGGGGGGCGGGGTCTCTGTAGACAAAAGCAGTGCTACTTAAAATGTCAATGGGGCCCATCCAAGCACCCGGATGGATATGCTGAGGGGTAATGGCTCCTGTGGGTACAATTAGAGTGATCTCTGTATTAAATTAGAACGGAAGCTGTAACCAATCAGAGTGGAAGTGCCTTGGCGAATCAAGGCAGATGCTGGAACCAATCAGAATGGCCTCTGGCTTAAACTAGAAGACACTGTGTCCAATCAGAGTGTACCCTCGCCAGAACTGTGGATAGGCCTGTTTTCGTGTGTGTACAGCTGATCGCCGCGCCTCATGGCCACAGGATGGCACCATGCTTGTGGTCCACACTGGCTGTGTGATGTGGGCAGCCCACCCCAGCCCCACCCGTCCTATTGAAATTCCCCCAGAGGGAAGTGGTATGGAGGGCCAGTGTTTCAGATAGGATTGTGGACTTGCAGAAAGAGCCTTGGGAAGGTGGAGGTTCTCGCTGGCTCACTGACCTTCTAGCTTGGGGTTGAGTCTATCCTGAGTGGGCCATCATAGGCCAAGCACTTAGAGCCTTGAATATGCCATGGGTGTTAAATAAATGAACACAAGGTAGCTAAGACACTAAAGCTTCAGGTTAGCTGGATAGGTTTGGAGGAGGCAAATCCCCCCCACCCCATGCATGCACCTCCACCTGCTCCATCCTGCGGACTCACCTCCGTCCAGATCCACCTGAATCCACAGGGGTTCCCCAAAGACAGCCTGACAGAGAAGGCCGGCTCCAGATCCAGAGAGGCCAGAGCACCCAGTGACACGGGGCGTCTCCATCTTCTCTCGAAGTACCACTTGCTTCTGAGCGGTCACGTGCCACTCGCTGGTCGTACACTCAGCAAACACTGTGAACTCCCCAGGAGAGCTGAACTGGTGGGTCACGTTGCTCGACACACTGGGGGATAGCGGAGAACGGGGAGGGGGTAAAGGAGCACAGCTTTAATAATCGTGCGTGAGTTCACAACTCCCGTGCTCCGCAAAGGCAAGATGGTGGCTGGGGGCGGTGTAGCATGTAGCGCAGTGGGGAGATGTCTTGCCTAGCATGGATGCAGCTCGGAGTTTAATCTCCAGCTCTCCATTAACTGGGTGTGACAATGTATATCTGTGGTCCCAGAACCCGGCAGGAGGAGGCAGAAAATTAGAAGTTCAAGGCCACCCTCTGCTACATAGTGATTTTGAGGCTAGTCTGGACTGTCTCAAGGGGGGAAAAAAGTTTGACAGAGGAAAGAAAAAGATGTCACACAGCATGCCCTGTTCTCTACGTCAGAGGGGTCACACTCTGACAACTCAGCATCGGATCAGGAATAGCATGGATCAGCCCTGAAAAATGTTAGCTGCCGGCCCTTTGAAAACAATTAGTGTTGCCGGGCGGTGGTGGCGCACACCTTTAATCCCAGCACTTGGGAGGCAGAGGCAGGTGGATTTCTGAGTTTGAGGCCGGCCTGGTCTACAGAGTTCCAGGACAGCCAGAGCTACACAGAGAAACCCCATCTCGAAAAACCAAAAAAAAAAAGAAAAAGAAAAAAAAAAGAAAGAAAGAAAGAGAAAAAGAAATGAAGGAAGAAAACAATTAGTGTGTGTGTGTGTGTGTGTGTGTGTGTGTGGGCCAGAGGTCAACCTTGGGTGATGTTCTTCAGGAGTCAGTGAACTCCAGGGATCCTCCTGTCTTACTCTCCACAGTTCTGGGATTACAATGTCTGTCACCATTCCTGACTTTTTATGCAGGTGCTGAGGATCGAACTCAGCTCTTCCTCCTTACACTGCAAGATCTTTACTAGCTGAGCTGTCTCTCCAGCCTCTGAGAATTCTTTTCTGATACCGTCTACTCCCATCCGGCTCACATAACCCCTTCTCTGGGCCTTGCTTGGCTTCTCATTTTTCTATGTCCAATGTGGCCTAGAGCCTTTTCACCCCCAGCCTGTACCCTCATCTCCTGCCCCTCTTCCTGTCTACCCACTTGTCACCCAGGTGACTCTCCACGTCCTTTGTTCCACTCCAAGGCCACCAATAAACGTGTGGCTCTCCTCCAGGAGACTTTGCTGTCTCCCAGTTCATCTGTGGCTGAGCCCTGTGTTCTTGGCAAAAGCCTGACCCATTTTCAGGTCACGGGCCCTTTATGTTCGCAGTGGATTTATCTTGCTTCTCGAGGATTCATGTGACTTAGGTGCTTGCTAATTCAGGGCCACCCTTGGCCATAGGTTGACAGTGTAGATGGTGTCTGTCTAGTTCTCCATCAGCATCTCTTGGTATCCGTAATGGGATGGTTCTGGGGTTCCTGACAGATGCGAGAACCTGTGGATGTTCAAGGCCTTTGTCCAAAACATTTGTCCCTCAACTCCTGTATCTCTTAAACCATCTCCTAAATCCTCAGACTATCTGGTAGAATATGAATGCTGTGGAAATGGGTACTGTGCTTTATTTTCTGATTTGTGAGATCTTTGTTTCATTTTTTAGACAAAGTCTAACATAGTTCCGGCCTCAAAATGTAGGTGAGGATGACCTTGAACTTCTGGTCCTCCTGCCTTCACCTCCCAAGTGCTGGATTCACGGGAGTGCACTACAGTGCATCTGGAGGCAGAGGTCAGCCTTGAGTGTTGTTCCTCAGATCACTGTCCACCTCGTTCATTTGTTTTTAGAACGTGGTTTCCCTGTGTTTCCCTGGCTGGCCTGGAACTTGCTCTGTAAGTTCTTTAAGGGTGGTCTTAAAGTCACAATGATCTACCTCTCCTGGGTGCAGGAGCTAAAGGCATGCAAAACCATAGCCATCCCACTTTAGACAGAGTCTCTCTCTCTCTCTTTCTCTGTTACCTGGAACTCTCCAATCCAACCTGGCTGGGAGCTGGTGAGTTCCAGGGATCCACCAGTCTCTGCCTCCCCAGCGCTGGGATTACAGCTTTCTCGCCTGGGTCCTGGGGACCAAACTCGGGTCTTCATGCTTACATAGTAAGCCGCCTCTCCAGCTCCTTGGCAACAGCACTAACCTTACAGATCACATGCACCCCAAGCCTAAAGGGTTGTCTTCTCTCCTTTGTAGCAGATGACCCATGCTCCCTCCACCCACCCAGAGCCTCGGTTGAACGCATCTCTAGGAATCCTCTTGCTTGAAAGGAGATGCTTCACTCCAAGGATACACTGTGCCCCCAGGCACAGTCCCCCATCCTTTGGTGGCTCAGGGTCAGTATGTGGATGATAGTCTCCACACAAGCCCAGGAACCCCGTGGGATCAGCAGTGTCTCCTATAGCACCCTACTTTGACCTCACTCTCTAGTCTGTCTCAGCATCATCCTCCTCCCATTCCCATCAGTATCTGGTCCTGGGTACCTACCCACCTTCCTCTCCCAGGAATAATCTCCTCAGACAGGCAAGCATTAACAGCTTTCCCTGGTCAGGGCACTGTTGAATTTCCCAGACTCTCTCATCTTCCCTCATACCCATGAGTTCGAGGGGGATGAGCATTTGGCAGGACCTGCTTCTTCAGATCCAGGCCAGTCCCTCCACTAGATCAGAGTTTCTCAACTTGTGGGTCGAGTTGAGAACAACTTTGGAGTTGAACGACTCTTTCAGAGGGGCTGCCTAAGACTATCAGAAAACACAGATATTTACATTACGATCCATGACAGTTATGAAGTAGCAATGAAAATAATTTTATCGTTGGGGGTCACTGCAACATGTGGAAATGTATTAAAGGGTCACAGCATTAGGAAGGTTGAGAACTACTGCCCTAGGCTGTCTGCTTCTGCACCCAAATCCAAAAGACTGTACCTTTAGACTTCTTCCCAACCACCAAATTCCTCTCTGCTTCCCAGTGGCCTGTGTATACCTAGTTCGTCCACAAGGCTTGTATCGCCTTGTAATTAGCATTTTCCCAACAAGATTACCACCTCAAAACAGCCTACTCAAAACACCAGGCAATTCCTGGTGGAGACAGAAAAACAGTCAATCCCCAGTCCTGCCATTAGGGGGCACATGTTACTCAATTCCGGGCTTGGACAAGGTTGGCCTTATATAAATTGTTCTGTAAGACCCATAATACAATCTCAGATATGCAGAGGCTTTTCCAGGAGAGAGAAAGATAACAGCCCGACATATGTATGAACAAGGACATCAGATGCCAGGCACAAAGGGTGCTTCCTCTGGTTCATCAGGCTGGTCCTCCACAAGGTCGTGTCACTATCCATGGTAGGAATGGGGTCCAGTTTTAAAGTTTCTACCTCTTAGATTAACAAGTAGCTAAGCACAACTAGAAGTCTGTAGTTTAGTGGTTGAGCACCAACTTGGCATGCATGAGACCCTAGGTTCAAACCTCAGCATTGCGAAAAGTCAAACAAGTAAGGGGGCTGGGAGGTATGGCGGCTCATATCTATAATCCAAGCACTCGGTATGAGGCTAGAGGGTAAGAAGTTCAAGGCCAGCCTGGGATATGTAGCAAGTATGGAATGAGATTCTATCTAGAAGAAAGAGAGGGAGAGTGAGAGCTAGAGAGATGTGGGGGGGGGGGATGGGGCTCAGTGAGTGAGCTTGCTGTCAGGCCTGATGGTCTGAGTTCCATTCTCAGAACCCACATGGTGGAAGGGGATCTCTGCCTCCTTAAAGTTGTCCTCTGGCCTCTACATGTGCAGGTGGCACAAGAGTGCCACCCTATAACAAATAAATGTTTTAGAAAGAAGAAATAAAAATGAAGGAAGGAAGGAAGGAAGGGAAGCAGAGAAGACAGGGAGTTAAGTACAATGACATTTGCACAGTATGGCTTCTGCATAATTAAAAATCTCATTCAGCCATTATCCATGCTGCAGGTCAGGTGCTAATGCCGCTGGCAAACCCAAGAGCACATGACAAGGGACCGTCCCAAGGTGAATGGAAATGACAGAAGTAGTCGGGTAATTTCAGGGTGCAATGGATTGTTAAAACAGAGGAAATTGGATCACTCAGGTGGGGTGAGGGTGGAGGGGAGTGGTGTCATCTGTTTCTCCTAAAAGACAAAATGCTGGTGACCAAATAGGCATCAGGGAGAAAGGGTTGCTTATGTGTGCTGCACACACATGTACATGTGTGTATGAGAGGATGTAGAAGTGAGAAGAAAACTTGGGATGTCAGGCCTTGTCTCTTGTCCACATTCTTTATTAATTAATGAATTAATTTTACCACAGGTGTCTCTCATTAACCTAGAACTCATCAAGTAGGCTAGGCTTACAGATCAGCGAACCCTAGGGGACCTTTCAGTTTCTTTTTACACACCACTGGGAAGACATTGTCGACCACTGTGCCTGGTGGGGTTTAGGGTTTTATCTTCGAAATGGGTTCTGGGAATCAAACTCAGGTCCTTTACCCCTGAGCCTTTCTCCCCAGATGTCCTGGCTGCTTTCCGTGTCAACTTGACACAAGCTAGAGTCATCAGAGAGGAAGGAACCTCAGTGGAGGAAATGCCTCCATGAGATCCAGCTGTAGGGCATTTTTTTCAATTAGTGATCAGTAGGGGAGGGCCCAGTTCATTGTGGGTGGGGTCATCCCTGGGCTAGTGGTCCTGGGTTCTATAAGAAAGCAGGCCAAGCAAGCAATGGGGAGCAAGTCAGTAAGCAGCACCCCTCCATGGCCTCTGCATCAACTCCTGCCTCCAGGATCCCGCCCTGCTTGACTTCCTGTCCTGACTTCCTCCAATGATGAACCGTGCTGTGCAAGTGTGAGCCGGATAAACCCTTTCCTCACTGACTTGCTTTTTGGTCATGGTGTTACATTGCAGCAATAGAAACCCCGACTAAGACACCAGCTCTGTCATCTTGTTCTCATGGGCAAAGCCATTGAGGCTTGGAGTGATATGACACAAGGCACACAGACAGGGTGGCTGAACTGTGATGAGAAAGGACTGAGTGACAATGCTCGGGTGGCCGGAGACCAGGTGAAGGTGGTGCAGACTGCAGCAGTAGCACCTGACCACAGGGCCTGGCACCATCCTAGGGCAGAGCTGTCACTCCACGTTGACAGAAAGAATCCCAATAGCGCTCCTAACACTTGACTCACAATTCTAAAAACCACGCAGAATCCATCCCAGGCCAGCCTGTGGAATGATGAACACCACATGTTCTCAGTTGACATCTAGTTAGCCATGAGACATGAGAGAAAGGGAGGCCTTCCTTGTCTAGTCACCACAGGGTCAGCCCAGCCAGGAAATCCAGCCATCCATCCCCAGAACCATGAGAAATGAAAAAGTATGGTTCTAGCCATTGGGTTTGGGGATAGCTTGTTATACAGCAAAAGCTGACTGATACAACCAGCCTTAAGGATCAGAGGTCACTCTTACCTGGGAGGGTAGTAGGGGTCGAAAGTATGGCCATCTCCCATGCTGAGTACACAGGACAGGTTTCCAGTGTAGGGAGAAAGGAGCCACATTAGGGAGATGGTGACATTGTCAAAGATGAAGCTCTCGTTCGGTACCACCAGCCGCAGGCCTGTAGACCCAAGCATGATGTCTTGTGAATTTGTGAACCAATGATGTGTGTTTCTGCTTAAAACTCACTTCCTTCTACCCTTGTGGCCATTGCTTTTATACAAGACATTTAAAGTTTATTATAGTTTTATTATTTTATTTTATTTTATAGTTTAGTTTAGTTTAGTTTAGTTTAGTTTAGTTTAGTTTAGTTTAGTTTAGTTTAGTTT